TCCGTATGTGAAATGTTGCCATTTTTTCAGTCATGATTTTCTCTTCTGCATATGTGAAAAGTTTGCCTTTTTTGTGGCCACAAATCTGCTTGATTTAAGCTGCTTTTCCAGACGTGAACAGAAGGCAAACAGACATATGGCCTCACAGATTAACTTGAAAACTGATTGGAAGATTTATCCTAGCAGGTGAGTTCAAGTAAGATGTTATCCCTAGGGCAGGACCCTGCTCACAGGAGATCACAGATAAACTATGAAGTGCTACGTGCTTTATTCACAGTATGCTTAGCACCATTTTCACAGTCTAGCCTCAACAAAACAACAAAACAAAACCCAGGCAGATCTGTGCAGCTGTTCAAGTGCTGAGCCCTGCCTGTGGGGTACCAATTGACTCGCTCAGGCCCCAGTTTCACACTCACAAACCCATTGCAGTTCAAGTGCTGAAGCACCGAGAGTTATCAGGCGACTCCCAAGAATAGGGCTGTACACTACTATAAAATTTGTCAGATCAACCTTGATCACAGGTGATTGTGCTGGAATTGGAGAGACTTAGCCTCAAGCAGTGACACACTAAATAGGGAACCACCAAGCAGTACGGGTGACACCCGCCTACACAAAACAGCATATTTCAGCTTAAGAACAGATTCACACTTCCAGTGTCCTAACACACTGATCAGTGCTTATTAGTTTGTAAGATAAGGCAAGCTATTAAAATGAAGGTTTTGAGCGCTTAGCCATACACACACAAGAAAGCAATGCTGATCTAACTGTAAAAAAAAGTTACGTTAAATCAGTGAAAAACATTTGGGAGCACATCCATTTTTCTTTAGAAAAAGTATTCACTTACATTGTTTTAGAATCATTGTGAGCTATAAAGAACTTTGCTTGCACAATGATTGTTAGCGCAGTGATAGCTAAGAAAGGCTCCTCAGCTGCAAATTATTTTCTCCCTCGTGTAAAGACATCCAACCACTCCAGGACGTGCATGTAACCGCACCTACTGGCTTTTGCTCTGACCAGTTTGGTTCACGAGAAAAAACAGAAAGATGACTACATAATCGTGAAAGCTATACTCTTGGTTTCAGTGTAAGCAAACTAATGGAGAAAGGACACAAAAATTAGAAGCGTGGAGTGGTGGGGGTGAAGAGAGAGAGAAGAGAGCTGTTTAGGATACAACTTGTTGTTTGGAAAAAATCCTACCAGAAAAATAGAAGTAGAAACAGACAGATAGGAGGTCTTCCCACAAGGAGACTGAGAAAAACATTAGGGAGATTTGAAGAACTTAAGAAGTTTGCATTATTTCCTCAGAGCATTGATCCTGCAGTAAAACCTTCTCTTCCAGTTGTTTTCTTGAGGGGGAAGTAGTACTATCCATCTCTGCTGTCTTTTCACCTTCCAAACACTTGCAAGAATGACATGCTCTTCTGTGGGGATAAAGCCTTGAGACCCTGCTCTAAGGCAGTTTTCTGACAGACTATGACTACAGAAACTGGGTCACCTTGCATTCGAAGGCTGTGGTAGAAAGCTGGTACCCACACACCATCTCCCCTTTTCCTTCCATTAAGTTTCACTTATGTGTCCATCCCTATTTCTACACCACTGTAATCTACTGGAAGCCAAAACCTGACCTTTAAAAACATGACACTGCTAGAAATAAGCATTGCTGCAATTTGGAAACCAGTTGGAGGGAATGGAACAGCTGAGATACTTAAAAAAAAAATAAACAAACAAACAAGTAGTTGCTGCTGCTGTGCATCATCATTACTGGACACCTTTTTCCCCCCCGAGACTTAGAAGTCACACCCAGTCTGCCAGAGAAACTTCCCCACCACAGAGTGCAGGTACACAGGAACAGGAAGAACCAGGGATAATGCAGTCATCATTTGGGTCAAATTCTCATCTCTTCTTTATTTCTACCATTCATGCCAGTCAGAGCTCACAACACTAAGAGTAGTACTCAGATCATTACCTTCTGTTGATTAACTTCTGGAGGTCATACTAGAAGAACATAATTATGAACCTCAAGACTCCTGTTTTCAGAAGGCATGCAAAAAACAAACCATCGTGGTGATGTACACATCCTACCAAATACACAAGCATTGTGTAAAATTATGAATGGACAAGCACTGGTCAACTTACAACAGGATCAAAAGAAATCCTGCAGGTAAACAAACAGGTAAATGAACTAGTGAGCCCCAAAGTCTTCCGCTAGTCTAGATACATAACCTAAACCAGATGTATTTATAGAGTTCCGGAATGGACATTTATATGAAACTTGAATAGTCACAAGTCTTTTTATGATTTAAAAACAGCCACATTACATACTTTTTATTTAATAAAAGTTAAAAACAAGTACAAAAATGTGATTCCATTTCTTTAAAATATAGGCTCAAAATAAAAAGACTGAACAACATTGTTCAGGCAATAAAGTGCAAAGGGAGTAGTTATCCCAGTCATGCTTAATCCATAAATAACCCTTACACAGCAAGAAGGAATAGAAAAAAGTAAACCGAGAGCAGACACAGCCACACTGTGGCTTAGTTATTCACGCACATTCACGAGACCTACATGTCCCAGATACAGATAAGAGGCAACACCTCATACACCCCATACACCTCACAAACAGGCTGTAAGGAATCACAGGTTAGATAAACCTAACACCAGGGAGTTGCAAATCTCTGTATCATGACATACATATGCCATACATACTTTTATGAAATTCCATATTCTTCATCATTTCCTCCCCATGATGCAACCAACTAACATGAAAACTTACTAAATCATGACAAGAGTTCCCAAACAGCTTTGCTCAGACAAATGCCAAAAATTGTTTGTTAGGGGGAGGTCTAAATGCCTATGAGATTGAGACAGGATGCTCTTATTAAAATTTTCCTTCCTCCCCACCAGTTACAACGATGCCAAAATGGTGTCCGGAAGGCATTCTTCTTGCTCTAGGGAACTTTGGAACAAAGAAGAGTAGAACGTGTCTGTCTTTGCCACACAAATTGGGGACACTGAATACTGACAAAAAAACCAAACACTCCAAGCATTCACTTCACCAGAAAGAGGAGTTTCAATCAAGCCCTTTGCAGAGTACAAAGCAGGGTTTGCATATGCACACACACTCACTGATACATACGCTATGGTCAGTGGGATGACAATGTGTGTCAAGTGAACAACACCCACATTTTGAAGGTCAGGCACAAACTTTAGCACACTTAGCACAGTACTCTAGCGCAGTTTGAAAATGTGTTACCAATAATTATAACAAGAGCCTTAACTGTAAATATAAGGACATACTTTGCTTTCAACCACAACAGGCCTCTGCTGGTTTCAGAGGGCAAGGTAAGAACAGCAAATCTGCACCCATTCCTATGAGAACAGCGCTTTACCCACACACTGAGAAACAAAACAAGGCTTCCAGAACAATGAAAGAGTGCAATAGACAGTGCATTCCTAGTTATCTACATTTTACATATGCACAAAAAAAAAGAGCTCTCATCAGTGCTCAGCCTAACTGAGCTTCAGTGTAGGAGTAACTGAAGGCATGAAGAGTCCAGAAGGAATAAACTATACAGAAATATTTCATTAAGTTAGTGAACTTTTAATGTCTGTTCTGGCAACGATGGTGCTGTCTCCCAGCAGAACAACAGGAACTGTTTAACACCCGGCACCTGACAGCACTACAGCTCTACTGTCAGCTTGCTATAGATACAGATATGTATCTATCTGCAACACGGAAATTGAGCAGTCTGATTGTGCTACGGGTATTTTATTTTATTACTCATACTATGCCATTACAACACAGCACTCCTGCAGCCAGTGATTTTGCTTTTTAGGCATATTTACACTTGGTGTAAAAGAAAATCCATTAAACAGGGAGAATATCTCATTTAATAGAAAAGGGTGATTTTGCATACAAAAGTACTGTGGAGAAGTATAAGGCCACATGAAGAGCATCATCAAGTTGACATGGTGGCTATTTCTTAAGTCAAGAAAGAATAGTACTTCTGGTGCTTTTGATACAGGTAAATGGAAGTCTTGAACAATTTCCTGTAAGGTGCATAAGCATCCACAATACACAAAAAAACTTAAAAATTTCTATTTCTCCTGCATTCAAAATAATATAAACAGAGACCCTGCTAATTATTCACGGGTTGTCTTGCCGTTTTTGCATTTTTCAGTAGACTCTGATATGCTGGTTTAGCAGGACTGAAAGGAAAGCATAATTTTTAGTGTCAAAGCTTCTAAATGAGTATTTGTGCTGCTACATCCACCAGAGCAGCCTGGCTCCTCCAAACTCTGCTCAGGTAGAGTGCGGACTCTGGAATGCCCAGTATGCCAAACTTCTAGCAGAAGTCACAACGGCTTCCACTTGCAGAGTATGAATTCAGAAACAGTTGAAGATTTCAAGGCTTCTTTTCCAAAAAATAAAGTTACTCTGTGTTTTTAAAAGGTGACACACTTAGATCTCAATCTTCCTACATCACCTGCGCAATGAGGGTCTAACAGCACCAGCCCATTGCAGGATCAGGATCTAGAAGTGTGAAAACCCCCAAAACCAGAGTTTATCAAATACTATACGTGATTCTTCAAGCTTACTGAAAAGCACTTTCCAAAACCCTGGGTCTCACCCTGCACACCTCTACTATGCAGGCCAGTAATTTGCCTGCATATCAACACCAAAACGAATAAATACAAAATATATTTGGTATAGAAAATACTAGTATAAAAATTAAAAATCACCCTGTTTTACTGTCCCTCAAAATATTAACAGCAAGCATTACAAGTGATTTTTTTAAGCTATTACCAAAATAATTTCCAAAGAGTTCTGCTTTCCTGAAGTGCTGGTGATTGCATTTGCCCAAATCTTGAAAAGAGACAGGGAAGGGACTGAGGGAAGATTCGCGAGATTTCTCACATGGTATGATTAACTGAGGACCTAAACTGAAGGAAACTAAAGTATGCACAAACGTGGGGGGTTTTTTGGGGGGGGGGGGGGAGCCACTGACAGTTCTGTCATAAGCAGAGCTCTTCCTGACTTCCAGAGAGTTTGTAGAGAAGGTACCTTCTCACACTAGCCCTGACAGACAGATGACGGCATGGGGATGAGCATACTCAGAGCATTGCTGCTTTTCGGTTTCTCTGCCGTGGCAATTCGGTTGAGTTTGCCAACCTCTGTCTGCCAGCTGGGGATCTTCTTTGTGGTCATATGGCGGCGGGTGTGTTTTGTCAAGTGATCACTACGCATAAAGCGACGCTCACACACAGGACAAGCAAACTTCTTCTCTCCTGTATGAGTTCTGCGATGGCGAGACAGTTCATCTGAGCGGGCAAATTTCTTGTCACAGCCTTCCCAGTTGCAGCTGAAGGGCTTTTCTCCTGTAGAACATTAAAGAAACACAGCTTACTTTTGATATGCTATGTTACAGTTTTATCAAAGAATTAATTTACACCCTGCCTTGCAACAACTGAGGAATTTCACAGAACAATTCATGTGCGCAGCCAACGTTAACTTAACCACAAGCTGTATTCTAGTTTTAGAGAAAAATCATATATTTTGTTTTCACTTATTCTCTCATCTCTTTAAACCTTCTTTAAATCAAGTCAATTTTTTCTAAGTAACCAAAAAACAAATTTAATGAAAAAGATTATTCCTAAAGCTATGTTACCTTCTAACTAAACTAGAAGCAATCCCTGCCCCCATCCCTCCTGTGTGACTGCGGCTCAGACTGCTATGTGTCATTAACATTGTAGGGGGGAAAAAAAAAAAGTCTGGAATTCAGCCTCAGAGGCCTGCTAAAGTGATCCAGTTCTACACACACGCATCATGTCACTGGCTACTAAAGAATGGCCTATCCTGCCATCCTCGCACACCTAGGAGTCCAAGAGACAGTTACAGGAGCTCTGGATGCCCAGGAATGAAAAGGAGTCATGAAGACTTTCAAAATTAACTTTTGCTCATCCTGGATGACCGTGTAACATCAGATCTGTTCTAAACAAGATCCGCTGCCTGCAGCCCCCACAAACCTCAACATAAATAAATACATATCACACAGCCCAAGTTTGTCGACAACACTTTGGAGCAGAGCATAAGTTTCCACCAGAAAGCAAGCAGCACAGGGAACTTTTTTCTCATTTCACATATTGAGAGTTAAGTTCACGCTTGGTATACACAATGCCACCTAGCTAAGCAATAAGCAGAAGGAAAGGAGGCAAAGATAAACACCTCTATCCACTGATCTCGTAAGGCTGACTGGCTAGGGAGGGGTCAGTGTGCTTCATCTCCCATGTACGTGGCTACAGTCTTAATCGTGTTACAGGGGGACACTATGATGAGCAGCAGTATGTGCTTTAAATGAGACACCTTGTTCCTTGTTCCTACTCTACGATTATCCTGCAGCGCTAAGTAAATTCGGGAGCCTGCAGCACTTGCGCTCTCTAACCAGAAGCAAGAGCTAGAAGCCCTTTGTAAATTGGAGCTCAGAGGTAGAATTATCCGCTTCATTCAGGGTTCAAGCTATTTTCCCAAAGCAATTTTAAAGATAAGCTAGCAAATTAATGCCAATCCTGACACAGAAGCTGACATCTAATAAACCACGCTGTCTGGGGTGAGGAAGGGAGGGTGAGGGAAAGAAGCCAAGGAAAAAGCAAAGTTTAGCCAAACATTTGAATGAGCTACTCTGTACCAATCTCCAGCTACACTCATCCCTCAATAACAAAGAACAATTCCTTTAGAGAACTCAACATTGACTTTTAACATGACAGGATCTCTAACACAGGAAAAGGATAAGTAAAACATATTTATACTGTCTCCACAATAAACAGGTTTTATGGAGCAAACCAATTCATATTAATTACATTTTTATTTACCTTTAGAATTCCCTTTCTGCAAGCAACTGAATAGATCCACTATGTTCCTGCAGCAGCTCTGCCTCCTAACACAGTAGCCCAAAATCTTAATGCACGCACATTTAGCCTAGACGTAACTCTAGAATAAGCAATGTGCAGTAAATGACCTTTTTTTTGAACTCACGTTAAAACTATTTTAAGAAGATTCAGCTATATGCAGTTCACTGTCCTGCAGAATAAAGACCAGCTACCTGCTATGGTTTGCTTACACACGCACCCCCTCCACCATACTCAAAACAAAACAAAAAAAAATCAAACCAAAAAAAAAAAACTTTGCACAATTCACTTTGATCTAGTTCCAAATGTCAGAATTCCACTCGTATCTACACAGAGACACATACCGACACAGCTAAGTTTGCTCCACCTAAAGCATATGAAATTCAGCTAACACTGTCAGGTCAGCTGAGGTCTCAGAACAAAGTCTGTCTTGTTTTGCTTGCCCGTGGAGAATGAACATTCTTGCATTCTCTGAGACAAGCAGATGTTTCCTGATCACCTGCTTCTTCCCCTCCCCACCCACCCCGGAAAAACAGTGCATTTCAACACCCCAATGCAAGCAACAGTCATAGCAACAGAGGACTTGTCCTCTTACACACCAGTGTGGGTGCGAAGGTGGGCTTTGAGGTGGGAACTTTTGAAATAGGTTTTCTTGCATCCTGGGAAGTTGCAAACATAGTTCCTCCGTCTAGAAAAGTCCATTTGGGGGGCACAGCTTTGACCAGAAGCTATGAACACAGGGGCAGGAGCAAGGGGCAGTAACTTGGTGCTCCCAACAGTCATTACTGTTTGTGGGCACTGTGGTGTCTGTGTGACAGCAGTCTGTGGAAGAACCAACATAACAGTCCCCTGAGGCACAGAAGGTCCCATGAGTACAGGCTGAGAAAGGGGAGTTGTCTGTGGTAAAATAGGCTTGACTGGAGTCGAGACTGTTGGAGCTGAAGGCTTGACATAGGCATTAATCATACTGCTTTGTCCATTTAAAGGGATCATTTGACAGAGAACTTGAGGGCTTGAAACAGGAACAGGTGTCCCCAGGGTAGCTCTTTTCTGCAAGTCGCTCTCAGGATTCTTTGGTAAGTGGGTCTGTGGTGAAACAGGCCGAACTGGTAGTTGTCCTTTATTGGTCACAATATCACTGGAGTCATGCGCATAAGGTTGAGGTACTGGAGAGGTTTTGTTAATTACACCATCAGCAGCACATGCGTCCTGTGGCAGTCTGGAATGTCTTCGATCATCTGCTCCACGCCAGTCTTCGGAACTGCTGTAGCTTGAAGTTACCTTTGTCTTCTCTTGCACAGCAGGA